AATTCGAATGTAACGCCTTTATCATATGACTTTTATATGTAAGTGGGGATTGATGTGTATATAAAGCGTTTGTCTCTCTGTTTTGTTCGATGTGCGACCGTAGATCTTTACCTGTGAGTAGTTTGTGTTTCATATATAATATATATCTGTGTATTCCAACTCAACATTTGTAGGCAGATCTATCACCTCATTAGGACTAGAGGATGAAATTTTACACTCAAGAAGACTGCATTTTTTTAAAAATATCTCCATCTACATTACCAGCATAGCGTATTTATTTTATTTTATTATATATTTTTCTATATTGTTAACACTGAAGATGACTCACGTTAAGAGTCGAAACGTTTGTTTATATAAGTTATTCATATAAAGCTTTATTGTATTTATTAAGCTGATAATTATATTATATATGTATATATATTTTTCCTAACAACCATTTATTGCTCGTTTATGCAATATATAGATATGCGCGAAGAAATGACGGATTAATCTAGCAAAAGTGAAAGTTTTTTTTCTGTGAATCATTTTTTTCAGTATTTATGTTATTTAAAAAGTATACATATATTTTATATAAAAAGCGACTTTTATTATGTACCTAAAAGTGAAATGTATAAAATACTATATAAAATAAAATAACAATATTAATTGGATAAAACAAAATTATTTAATAATTTCTATAGAAAACCAATAATTTATATATACCTTTTTAATATGCAAAGTGCTTTGCATTTAATAAATAAACTTTGACAATATATAAAGACATCCAAGACAGATGAAAACAAACTCGTTGCAATAACTTCATTGAGTCATGTTCGTTGTGTGACATCATTTTTCATTGTGGTTTTCTCTATTAAATTTGAAGAAATTTGCATATTTGTGCAATGCGTTTCAATATTACAATACAATTGTGCTTTAATATTACAAATACATTGCACGATAACATTACTGTAATTTTACATTGCAATACTTTTTGAAGGCGGACATTTCAACGTTGCCGTAAGCTTGCAGTAACATTGCAGAAATATTTCGCAACTACCATGCAATATTACAATGTTTCAACGTAAGGTTGATGCAATGTTTCTACAATCTTTTGGTGCTGTATGGGTAAATACGACTCCAAAGAACTTAGGAGAAACGTCGGTTTACAGGTCTCTATAGTCGGTATCCAGTACCCTCTTAAAAGTGTGAGCAATGCGTCTGCTAGTTAGGCCCTGGGCATAATAGACAAAATATTAGGAATAGAAATAAATAATAAATATTTGAAAAAAGAATTTGAAATAATGTTACATTAAAAAAGAGAACGGAATAAGTTAATTATTCTAAATTTTTATCTTTTAACTTATGATGATGTATTAATTTATTATATTTTCTTGGTTTCTAAAGAAATAATTCAACTTTCTCATTTATTCCTATTTTTAATAGTTTGCGTATTGTGCTCAGGGCCTTACAAGTCTGATCACAACATTCTAGACTACATTTTAGATTTCTTTAGTTTAACATTGTTTTTAAATAGATATATAATAATATTATAAAAATAATATTTATATATATATAATATACAGGGTGTCCGACAATTACTTTAAAATCTCTCGTAGGCAGGTAGAAGGAATAAAACTGAGTCAAAAAGTCCTGAACCATTTTTTTCTATTACATATAATAAAGGAGTAATTATTGAATAAATCAAGCCATTTGATTTCAAATTACATATTTCAATTGTAATATTTTCATAATAGTATACTGTTTATTTTTTTTATTAATTAGTTATATTTTAATATTTATTTTATTTATACCTTGTGTTTGTTTCTATCAAAATTTTGATCATTCTCTTGTAGAAGTTAGCATCTTATAAATTATTATTATTATTATTTATTATTTAATAAATAAACAACTATTTCAAATTATTTTGAACACTGATATATTCTTTATATATATAACTTTCAAACACTTATAGATGAATAATCATTTCGAATTTAATGTATTTATGTAATATGTAATTTTTATAAACATTGTAAAATACATTTTTGAAATCATGCAGATTTTGCCTGCTTAACCATTCTCCAGGAAGGAGTGATTACTTAAGTAATCATTTCAAAATTTTTTTGATCAAATTAATATATTAATAATCATTTCAAAATTTTTTTGATCAAATTAATATATTAATAATCATTTTAAAATTGTTTTGATCAAATGATTGTTAATATATTAATAGACAATAATTACTCTATTGACTTCATTTTCGAGACTCAATTTTTGTTAAGCCTTTTATAGCATCGACAAATTAATAACGATTTCGGCTGGTCTGCACCGGTGTGCCACTTGTGTAGAGTTGGTGCAATTGTGTGCAACACCGCATCGGTGTGTGTACTGATTACACTAACTGGCTCCGACTAATTTGTGAGAGCCACTTTGTGTACACCCAACATGCNCCTATGCGGTGTACTGAGCTCAGACGAATACGTGGAACCAGCAAAGAACTGCTGCCATTCGACCAGCCGAACACACAATTTGCACCGACACCCGAAATGTGCAGTCGGTGCAAACCAGCCAAAATCGCTATAAGACAATTTATTACAGTTCTCAAAGATCCTCTGCTTCTCTTTTCCCGTCCTTTCGTGGTTTACAAAATAAGTTGTCGAGATTGTGACGTATCTTATGTTGGACAAATCAGCAGGATGCTAAAAACAAGAATCAATGAACATAAGAACCACATAAATAGAAATTACTCCCAGAGATCTGTGATCACTGATCATAGATTGCAGCATTCACATGATTTTATTTGGGATTGTGTTAGAATATTAAACAACGAAAAATCATATTATAAACGTCCAATATCAGAAACATTGCATATTAAAAGTCAGAATAATGGTCTCAATTTGCACAGCGATACGGAAAATTTAGATAGATCATACTTACCTTTCGTTGATAATACTCACTAAAACGTTATTCATTGCTGTTTATTGACCACTGTATATTTGAAATGGTGATTGCCGTATGACTTTCTCAGTCGCAAAACTGCTGTCATAAAACTCTAATCAATCATTATCTGCTCAAAGACTATGGGATAAGCGCGAGTTTACCAACTTTTCTCTGTAAGTTTTTAATTATCATATGTAATTTTCAACTGCAAATTACCATTTGTTATTATTATTTGTAGCAATATTTTGAAAAAGACCGAAATCAATGGTCGTAAACGTTTAATACAAAGCAATAAAAAATTTACTTTACACACAAGAACAACCGTGTTTGCTCCATATGGCCTTATTCTAACGTCACTTTCCTGTTTAATTAATTGGAGCTATAGCATTTCACCTTATTTTTTTATTATTTTATTTTTTATTACAATTTTATTTAATTTTTTTCTTTTTCTTCTCATACAATTATTTTGTGTTATATTTCTGTTTATTTTTTTTATCTGATATACGTTCTAGTACGCACTAGACAGGCAATAACTTGTCTAAGAAACTTAGTTTTAGTTTTTGTACATATACTATTTGTTAAATTATCAAAGATTTTTGCTTGTTAAAAAAATTTCCATGAAATTTTTGAAACTCACAGTATTTTAGTTTTTTTGTTTGTGATTGTCTCACTGTTGAAGATTTTCCTTTTCTTTTTTTCGCTAAATTTAACATTTTCGTAAAAATAGAACCTGCTTTCAATCATGCAGTTGTTTTGCTGTTTTTGTTGAGTGTTTTTGTTGTGTCCATTGCGTTATAAAGCAATCATCAAAATCAAGATTGCATATTCTTGCTAAAACTATAATTCATTCTATACAATTCTATTATTTTTATAATGAGATCATATTATAAACAATACATTATATTGTAAGTTATATTGACAACTTTTGCTATATAAAATATGTCTATTATATTAACTTAGAATCAATTTTAATACTTCCTTCACTTCTTTCAGAAGCATTTATCTATAACTTACGAATACTGTCCTCATTATGAAACCTAAAAAATGTTATTCCTTTTGTATCCGTATAAAATGTTCGACTTTTACAATTTTTATCACAGCACAATGGCATTGTGTATGCAAATAAAAACAAATATATAGTACACAAATAAAAAATTGACACAATTTACAATTGTTTGATCATTTTATAAGCTATATAATTTATTCATTCATTCATTCAATTTATATGATATATTTAACTTACCTCACGTTTGTTCACTGCTGTTTGTAAATATCTGATACACTGTTCTAACCTATCCTATCTTAGGCGCTTTTCAGCTACGTACACAGACGATACTGTGTAACACAGGCTGCTTTCCTTTTAGAAGACACAGTCGACACAAGTCGACACAAAAGTCATTCTGTCTTTGTTCAGTATTCAGTGAGAAACAGAGACAGAATGACTCTTGTGTCGACTTGTGTCGACTGTGTCTTCTAAAAGGAAAACAGCCCTTGTAACACTGGGTGCGTTCAGACAACTCAACGGTTGAGAGATCATCACTTATGATAGGACTATTCTTCAAAATCTGATGCGGTTCCAAAAGTATGATCTAATCAGAAGTGATTATCTCTCAACCGTTGTACAACTGTTGAGTTGTCTGAACGCACCCACTGACGTTAGTGACTACGGGTGCTTTCCAACTACGTACACAGGCGACACTGCGTAACACTGTGTCCACTAGTGTGAGTGAGACACACTGATATGCTCTTTCTCACATTAATGGACACAGTGTTACACAGTGTCGCCTGTGTACGTAGTTGGAAAGCACTCTACGGCCGTTTTCCTTTTAGGAGACACAGTCGACACAAGTCGACACAAAAGTCATTCTGTCTTCGTTCAGTATTCAGTGAGAAACAAAGACAGAATGACTCTTGTGTCGACTTGTGTCGACTGTGTCTCCTAAAAGGAAAACGGCCTACGTTAGTTTTAAAATTTGGGGCATATTTTTGATTGGTTCAGAGAGCGGCCATTACTTGAACCACTGCGCATTCACGAGAATGTTACACCTGATATACTTACACCATGCATATACATAACAAAAGTTTTTCTTCTGATACATGAACCAACGTGTAGATCTATAAAGCCATAACTGCAGTTTTTAGTTTTAATAAATGGATTTTAAATATTTCATTTTATTCTTATTAGTAATTTATGCTAGTGTGAAGCAGACAAATACATGTATTATTTTGGAAACAGATTTATTTAGAAAGAGATAGAGACTATATAAAAAAGTCACTCATTTTTTGGATGAAACCTCACTTTTTTTAATTTACTTAAATATAACTTATTTATCTGCCTCTTCCAGACTGAGATCCTCCTGGTTGATTTTGATTTAGCCAAGGTGCTGAACCAGTACCTTTACCTCGTTGATTCTGTCCTCTACCTCTGCCTCGAGCTAAAAAACAAGTTTTCCCTCAAAAATGTATATAAAATCTTTAATAATTCAAAATACAAAAACTCATTAAAAATTTAAATTTTTATGTAAAAGAAAAATATAACTTCACAATACTATTAAATTTGTTACTACATATAAGTAGATTTTATAATAAGAAACTTTCATATCCATTGAAACCTTAACCCTATTTATAACTTTTTTTTATTGTCAAATAGTTACTTACAAGAGTATAATTATAAAGCTGGAGTTTGTAATAAAAATACATAAACAAACCTTGGGCACGTAGTATAGCAGACTTTCCTCTTCCTGCAGTGCCGGATCCTTTGCCGCCTGGTCGTTTAAACATCGGCGCATTTTTTAACATATCAGGCAAAATAAGAAATCTAATTTTGGAGCCGCGAATATATACATTTTCCAGCTGAGCCGTATGACCGTCGCGATACGTCACTGAAATATTTTGCATCTGGCAATTCATATTGTCTTCCGCTTCTATTAATTTTCCTCGATACACTTCGCCGGTGTTTGTTTCAAGGGTAACAATGTGACCCTCAGCCTCGTGAAGCACTTTAATGGGAACGCCAATCGACATTTTCTTTCTAAAAAATTGTACAACTTTTACAGAAATACATAATATAAGAAATACATCGAAATATTGTGTTTTCGAACATTTTAACCTCTTAGAATAATCCTACTTACTGTATATACACTTGTACACATATATGCTTGGTAGAAAATAAATAAGCGGTTGAGCCGTTAAGCACTGATAAAATAAACTTACTAAGATGGTAAACACAAACTATAGTTGCCCAAAAGATGCGTTCCGTTTTCTGTATACGCACGGATTGATTACGTTCAGAAAACTCAACAGTTGTACAGAGAAGTGCACCAGGGTTGAGTTATTCGAGCATTTTCTAAAGTGTTTTTTACATTTTACTGTTTTTTACGGTAAAATACGTATAAGACGTATAATATTTATCAAAGTATACTATTAAGAGCCGTCTACAATGGAGAGTTGTAGGCCGTAATAGTAAGAAATTGACCAATCACAGACAAAGTACAGAAGAATAATCGATTGTGATTTGTCAATTTCTTACTGTTACGGTCTAAAACTCTCCATTGTAGACGACCCTTTATGGACTACGTTTACACGTACTGATAAAACCGTTTTAATAAAACCCGTTTTAGTAAAAACCGGACTTAGACATCGTCTACAATACATTTGTAAGCATAAAGGGCCGTCTACAATGGAGAGTTGTAGGCCGTAACAGTAAGAAACTGACAAATCACAATCGATTATTCTTCTGTACTTTGTCTGTGATTGGTCAATTTCTTACTATTACGGCCTACAACTCTCCATTGTAGACGGCTCTTAAAGAGTTGTCTACAATGGAGGGTTGTAGGCCGTAATAGTAAGAAATTGACCAATCACAGACAAAGTACAGAAGAATAATCGATTGTGATTTGTCAGTTTCTTACTGTTACGGCCTACAACTCTCCATTGTAGACGGCCCTTAATACGCGTATTAAGTACTATATTCGTAGTAAACCGGCTTGGTCTCAACGATGTAAACGATGCTGTATTAATGTGATACGATACGCTTTCTTCACGAGTATTGTATTAAAATGATACGCGTATTAAGCACGGTTATAATGGTGTAAACACCGATGAACTTATAATTCATGTACCAATCAAGATTCTCTTGCATGTAGAAATTGTAGTTTTGGTTCTAATTCATCTCTAAGTTGGTCGCATAATTCTAAAAAACTGACTTTAGACATGCGAAAACTTTTTATCCATTCTTTTAAAGTATAATGTGAATTTACAATTCTATTCCAAAAATCCAAACTCCTTTTATTTTGCCAAATTCTTCGATATCGTATACCTTCTACGATTAATTGCAAAGACACTGAATTATTAAGCTCTTCCCATTTCAGTAGCATCTTGTTTCTTTTTAAGAGACATAACCTCTCAAATTTTATCTTCATTGCACGTCGTCTACAGGAAAACCATAGTCGTAATTGTTTTTTTTTTGACAATCTTGATGATTTTTTATAATGTTCAATAACATACAAAAACACTTTATAATGTTTTGCTCTATATGTCTTTTTTTCTCTATGTATATTATTGTGTACTAAATTTGTACCTTATAGGTACTTTTCACAAATTTACTCCACTTGATGTAAACGCAGTCGAATTAAGCGTTTGGTGCGCATTATTTTGATTTGCGTACCAAAAAATTGTACAATGTAAACTAGGTCAATGATTTTAACGTATCAAAATGCGATATTACCAACTTTAGACATTTGTAAGAAAGTTCAAAAGATACGAAATCTGAAAAAATATCGATCTCATACAGCATCGCTTCAAAATGGATTATTCTGAGGATAATGAATTATTCTGTAAAAAACGAGATCAAAATGGGAAAATGAAGAAACACGATTTTTTCTAAATTTAATGAGAGAGCGAAAAATGATAAAATGTTTGGATGGAAAAAAATTTCGAAGGAACGAAATATTGATCTTGCTGGAAAAGTCCGTGCACGAAAAAAGATATATGAAAACCCACAAACAGATGCAAACAAAATATATTTTAAACAAGTTGTTAATAATTTCCATTTTTGTAAATTTCACAATCGCAAAACATAACTTCTATCTGTTACCAGTTACGGAATGTTCTACAACAAACAGTTTCAAGCGCCAAATCTTTTATGTTGGCAATAGATTTTGTTCGGGCAGAGAGAAGCCTGAGAGCGGCCATGCCATTGTAGTTTCTTACGACAGTTTCAGCCACTGGTTTTAGCCGTATTTTTACAAAAGTGGAACTCAAAGGCCGTTCTCCACGAAACTCAAGTAAGAGGTCTCGTAGAACTGATCAATCACGTCGGTCGATTGGTTGATTTGACTCTGCAATTGGTCACTTCCACGAGATCTGAGACTTGCGTTTAATGTAGAACGGCCTTTGAGTTCCACTTTTGTGGAAATACGGCTAAAACCAGCGGCTGAAACCGTCGTAAGAAACTACATACAATAGCATGGCCGCTCTCAGGCTTTTCTCTGGTTCGGGTTTAATAAAGCTACTTTGTTCTTCTTATAGTCCATTGTTAGATAGCAATAGTTACGTGACTAAGGGCGATGTCCCATTGAGCGGAAATATATAGCGGAACGGAATGTGCGGAACCAGCTCAACCAATCATAGCCATTCTGTTTTCTTTCCTTCGCTTTTTCTGTGGTTACGATTGGTCGAGCTGGTTCCGCACATTCCGTTCCGCTATAGATTTCCGCTCAATGGGACATCGCCCTAAGTGGTGTTGCATCAGCCATACCGGTTGGATGTGCGTAGTTACGCTTAGATATTTTTGGACAATTCTCGGTGTTTTTATACCGACTTTTTCGGTTTATCATTAATTTTAACGAACGTAACACTCCGTGGCTTGTACCCAAACCACGGTTTAGGACCTGTGTCATGATTTTTAAAGACTTAGAATGGCGTATGGACTAGCTTGAAACGGTCCTTTGAGCCATATATGCACCAAACCAAACCTACTTTGTTCTTGGTGGAGGTAAAATACGTCTGATCGTGTAAACAGGCACCATAAAACAAGATTTACTAAACCGGTTTTTGCTAAAACGTTTTTACAAGTGCGTGTAAACGTAGTCATGTTTGTAGAAATGCAAATTACATTTGTCAACAAATTTTTTAAGCTTGTTGATTGACCTAGAATAGAAAAATACTAGAAAGTCAAGAATTTCTTTATCCTGTAACAAATGAATACGCTTAAAAAATTTTGTCATACAAAAAACGTAGTGCATTTGCTTTACAAGGGGAAACTACGACGTTGTATCAATCGATTTGGACGAAATTTATAGGATCGATAGATGACTATGTGGAGTATTGCAGGGTAAAGTAATAAGACGCACTACTCAAGCATTCGTGAGAAAATTGAATTTGAAAATTTCAAGTTACTTTACAAGGATATTAAATAGATCGTTTAATCGAAGAGCGCGTAGCGTACTAGGTTAGTAGTGACGACGTCATCTGGTTTGAGTCTCAATATACTTTTTTTTTTCTAAATTCTACAGTATAATCTATTTAAATGTAAGTAATATGTTTTTTATTTATTTATTGCATGTTATAAAAGTGCATTGTTTTGCATAAAAAATTCGTGACTTAAAAATACGGTAAAAATAAATAGATTATTGCTAATTACTAATTGTGTTTTTAAAAAGCGGATAAATAATTGTACGCAACATGTAAAAATATATGCAACATGTTTTATTTATTGGAAATTTATGTTACAATATGCATGATTTGCTTTCAAATTAACAAACGAGAGAAATATATTTATGAATATCAACAAAGTATGTTTTTCTATAGATATTTTAAAGAAACCATGTGCACACTGTCGTGAAAATTATTGTTTCATTTGTTTTTATGACAAATATCATCCTGCATTATGTATTGTCCCATCTAGTTCCAATAAATAAAACATGTTGCATATATTTTTACATGTTGCGTATAATTAAGTATCTGCTTTTTAAAACCATAATTACCCAGGCAACCAGCTGACGTTATAATGACGTTAATATAAAGTCAGTTTTTGACCAGTTCGACGTTAGTTTATGACNTGATATTAACGTAATGACGACGTGAGTTTGTCTCGTCAAAAATTACGTCATGTTAATGACG